AAACAAGAATAATACCAGTGGTAATAGGTGCACTTGGAATTATAAAAATGGAACAAAACAACACATTGAAAGAATCCCTGGAAACCCCAGCTTAAGAGACATACAGAAAATTGTCTTATTAAGTACAGCACACACACTAAGGAGAACTTTGTCTATGTAACGCTAGCAACTTCATCGGAGATAAAAAAAAAAAAAAAAATTAACATGAAATGTAATATAACAACACACCACGACCTGCCTTAGGTCTTTCCGCAGACTTGGTAGGTAGTGTGTCCATAGCAGAAATCGAATGATGATGATGATGACAATAATAATAATAAATAATAATAATAATAAGCTGAAACTGAAGGTTTTATCCTTGCTTGCACAGGACCAGTGCTTGCTAACTAGGAATTATCAAGCACGTATACTAAAATATTGTGTCATCCCAAAATGCAGCTTCTGTGATAAATATCCAGAAACGATTGATCATCTTGTATCAGGTTGCACGATATTAGCACCCACTGAATATAAAACCCGTCATGACAGAGTGGGCAAATATCTGCACTGGAAAATCTGCAACTTCTACGGGAAGGAAACTGAAAGAAACTAGTATGAACACCACCCAGACCCGGTTACGGAGATAGGACCTGCTACAATTCTATGGGACTACACAATACACACTGACAGAACAATCAAAGCCAACCGCCCAGATATTGTTATTAAAGACTACAAACAAAAACGGTGCCTCCTTGTTGATATGGCAGTCCCTGCTGACTGCAATGTATCTTTGAAGATATTCAAAAAGCTGTCAAAATACAAGGACATTGAAATAGAAATCTCGAAAATGTGGCATATGGGAACATCAACAATCCCTGTTGTAGTTGGAGCCCTCGGACTGGTTGGAAAAGATTGCAGTAGACTAATTGAAGGGATTTCTGGAAGTCCATGCCTCAAGAAAATACAAAAAATTGTTCTGACAAGTACAGCCCACACTTTACGAAGGGCTTTATCTATGTAATTTTTTTTTTTTTTTTTTTTTGTCGGTGGAAAGTGTCATGATGCCATTTCTAACCTTAGGTCCCTGGGCGGGACACGGAAAGAAATGTCTAAACGCCAGAAATCAAAGAAAATAATAATAATAATAATAATAATAATAATAATAAACTATCAAATGCAAAAACCTCGAAATCGAAATCTGGAAAATGTGGCACATAAGGACATCAATAATTACAGTTGTAGTTGGAGCCTCGCATTGATTGGAAAATTTTCCGATAGACACACTGAATGGATTTCTGGTACTCCAAACTTTAAAGAAATACAAAAAAGTTGTACTCACAAGTACAGCCCACAACTTACGAAATGCTTTATCTTTGTAAAATATGCGTGTTTTTTTTCCTTTTCTTTATTTTTAAAAAAAAAAGACTCAATGAAAAAGCTCATAATGCCATTTCTGACCTTAGGTTTCTTGTTTGGACTCAGAACGGAATGAGTATACAGCATAAATAAATAAATAAATAAATAATAATAATAATAATAATAATAATAATAATAAATTATCCGACAAGGAATCTTTCAAGGAAGATACCTGTCATCACTTCTGTTTTGTATGCCCTAAATCCTCCTTACACATGAAATAAACAATAATAACTATGCTTATAAATTAAACACAACACTACTCAATCGCCTACTCTACATGGAGGATCTCAAGCTCTTTACCAAAGACAAAAATGAGTTGAAGGGTATCCCCAATAATGTAAAATGTTTCAGTGACGGCATAGGTATGGATTAGATAAATGCGCAAAAGCAACATTCAAGAAAGGGAGAATTACAGAAAAAAACACTCAATAGATTTAGATTTTGGCGCAAAGACTAGGGAACTGGAACAAGAAGAAGCATATATGTAACTAGGAGTTATTGAAGGAGATGGTATACAACATACACAAATGGACAAGTTTAGAAAGGAGTACCACAGACATCTGCCTCTGGTACTAAATACCGAGCTGAATATCAGCCAGGAACACCTTAGCTGTCCCTGTGGTGCAATACAGTTACAGAATTCTTAACTGGACAATAGCTGACATTAAGTGAATGGACACCGAACGAGAAAGCTTCTCACCGGCCACCCCATGCACCAACCAAAGACTGAAGTTAATCGTATGTATGTACCCAGATCCGAAGGAGGCAGAGGATTAGTTCAACTAGAACTGTCTTACGAAACTACAACAATTGGCCTTCAAACATCCCTAGAAACAACAGAAGACTAGATGTTGTTCTCTGTCAAAGAACATGAAAGTAGTAATTGACTTTATTCAGTAATAAAGGAAGCAAACAAGTTGAAAATGGAATTTCATGTGGGGGAAGAAATACAAGTAAAGCTAAATACACAAAGTGAAGCTGCAAAATACTAAAAAAAAAAGAAAGCAAAATCAAATACAAACGACCATATACAGATGGCAAGATAAACTGCTTCACGGTAAATACTCTGACCAAACACGCCGATGTCGACAAACCCCGTATTCATAAGTGGCGACGTAGTGCAGGGTTAAAACCTGAATACGAAAGTGTTATTCTTGCTGCAAAGGAGAAATGCTTGTTAAGGAGAAATAATCAAGCATATTTACCGAAAAATTGTGTTAGCCTAAAATGTAGATTCTGTGATAAATATCCAGAAACAATTGACCATCTCGAATCAGGTTGCACGGTGTTGGCACCCACTGAATATAAAACACGGCATGACAGAGTGGGCCAATACCTACACTGGGATTTCTGCCCGTACCAAACAAGCTGATGTAGACAAACCTCGTGCTCATCAGTGGCTACTTAGTGCAGAGTTAAAAGCTGAAACTGAAAGTTTTATTCTTGTGGCACAGGACGAATGTTTGCTAACTAGAAATTACCAAGCACGGGTACTGAAAAATTATGTTAGTCCAAAATTCTGTGATAATTATCCTGAAACAATCGAGCAAATTGTATCACGTTGCGCAGTATTGACATCCACTTAATATAAAACACGACACGACAGGGTGGGCCAATATCTGCACTGAAAAATCTGCTACGTTTACAGAAAGGAGACTGCAAGAAAATGGTAGGAACAGCACGCAGACTCGGGTATGTAGATATAACCTGTAACAAATTTATGGGACTTTACAATACACACAGGCAGAACAAGGAAAGCTAATCGAACAGACATCGTGATTAGAGACAGCAAAAACAAAATTTGATTCCTTATTGATTTGGCAGTCTGCAGACTGCAATGTATCTTTGATTAAAAAAAAAAATGGAAATTAAACGTCCTTAAAATCGAAATCTCAAAAATGTGGAACATATGGATATCAATAATTACAGGTGTAGTCGAAGCCCTCAGATTGATTGGAAATTTTCCGATAGACATATTGAAAGGATTTTTGGTACCCCTAACATTAAACAAGAACCACAAAATTGTACTTGCAAGTACAACTCACAATTTACAAGGGTTTATCTATGTAAAATGTGTGTTATCTTGTTTTATTTGCCTTTATCTTTTCTTTGTTTTAAAAAAATGTCTTAAAAAACTATGAAAATAAAAAAAAACCTTGAAATCTTCCGATGGACACATTGAAGAAACCCCTTATTCTCCACGCATTAAAGAAATACAAAAAACAAATAAAACGACAACAACAACAACATAAGCAATAATAACAATAATAATAATAATAATTATGATAATATTAGTAGTAGTAGTAGTAGTAGTAGTAGTAGTAGTAGTATGTGTAGTACAATCATAAAATCACAAAAATTGGTCTTCAAAGATACCCGTAAACTACAGAAGACTGGATGGGGATCTTTGTCAAAGAACATGAAAGAAATAATAAAATCTATTCAGTAATAAAGAAGCCATCAAATTCTAAAAAGGAAATTCAAGTGGGTGAAGAAATGCAAATAAAAGCATTATACACATATTGCATCGGAAAAGAACCTAAAAAAGAAAGCAAATGCAATGTACCAAAAGCAAAAAACGATGGCCAGATCAGCCTCTTCCTAGTTACTACTCTGGTCGTAGCAAACAATCTGATGTAGACAAACTCTGTACCCATTTGTATGAATCCATTCTGAGTCTAGATACCGAAGGTGATATCAACTTGCTCTGTGACAAATTTTATATTAGTATTAATTCACTCTCTCTCTCTCTCTCTCTCTCTCTCTCTCTCTCTATGTATCTCTCATGTCTTTCTCACTGTCTATCTCTATCTCTCCCTTTCTGTATATATATATATATATATATATATATATATATATATATATATAGAGAGAGAGAGAGAGAGAGAGAGAGAGAGAATTTTTAGAAATTTGTCATATAGCAGATTGATGTCGCCTTCAACATTTCATCTCCAGATAGCGTTTTCTTATGAAATTTTATTTGTCTGCTACATTAAATGAAACATCTATGAAAGAAACATTGCTTATAATATATATATATATATATATATATATATATATATATATATATATATATATATATATAGAGAGAGAAAAAACAGGGGTGACAAAGACGGAGAATGAGGCTAATATGCGGAGTAATGCAAAGGCCGAGAATAATGTTGCCGTGTAGCCGAATTCAAATTCCAAATTGACATGTTACATTCATTGTCTTAGAAACGCTCTGGGAAAATATATGAATCCATCTTTTCTACAATAGTTTAAATAAGATGGTAGACTCGTATTTCTAGCCTTAAATATCATTTTGCTCGAAGAATAATTCTGATATGAAAACCACAGAAGAAGAAACAACTCGACTCACTTTCCAAAGACTCCCTGACAATTCATAGATATGATACGAAGTTTTCGAACGTCTAAAACCTCGGATTGAAATATGTAGATAATGAAGGGAGGATTATAGAGACAGGAATAATGAACTGTTAGAAAAGAAGAAAGAAGAATAATTAGAGAGAAAGACAGAAGGAAAGGTAGAATGAATGAAGGAAGGGAGTGTTAGAGAGAAAGAAATAAAGAAGAGGTAGAAAGGAAGAATAAAGAAGAGATTAGAGAGAAAGAAATAAGGAAGAGTTAGGAAGGAAGAAAGAATGAAGTGTAGTAAAGTGGGCTGGTGGATGTTTCAGGAAAACATAGAAGAGAAGGGTGGGAAATGGAAAGAGAAGAAGCTAAAAAGAGAAACGGTTTTTCAAAGAAGGGAATGTGTATAGAGTAGAAACGAAAATAAATAGAAGGTGAAGAATAGGGTAAATGTTAAAAAGAGATTGAAAGGAAGGTAAAAATAAAAACGAGCAAGAGGATAGAAAGAATGAAAAAGAGAAAGTTCCTTTTCGAGCGAGTATTATCCAGCATGTACTATTAGTGTGAGTGTTATTCGAAGGCGTCTGACACCAGTAATGTTCAACGGCGTTACTATAGTTGTATCTGCGATTACAAAGTCTCTACTACAACGATAATTACAAAAGTGAAAACATTTATTCGTTGACATTACAAAAGTGGCAACGAGTATCGTTGACATCACAAAAATAACAAAAGAAAGAAAGAAAGAAAAAGAAAGAAAGAAAGAAAGAAAGAAGAAAAAGAAGAAGAAGAGTACAGATCGTTTTGGAGAAGGATAGAGCAAGTAAAATAAAAAAAAATGATGAAAAAAGTGAGAAAGAAGGATCAGAAAGGAAGGATAAATGAAATGTTATTGAATAAGGAAGAAGTAAAAGCATAAAGGGTAGGTGAAGGATAAAATGATTATATAAATACAATGAACCAAGAGAGACGAAGTATTCAGAACAAAGATGGACGAAAATAAAAAATAGAAAGAATAAGTGAATACGAAATACAAGAAAAAAGGAAGAAGAGAGAAAAAGAAAAGAAGAAGTAGAAAATAATAAAAACCAAGAAGAAGATTGAGAGAAAGAAGCGGGCGGAATAGAAGGCGAATGAAAAGTGTAGTAAAGAAATATGAAATTGTTGTGGTAGGATCCACCTAATTTGCATAGTGGAGTACCGACCATATAAATATGGTTGGTACCGGGAAGACGGGGGGAAGGAATCAAGAGATTCAATCCAGAGACTCTGCCCGACTGCGACTAAGTCAACACATTCTCCAGGAACGGTCTTCCCAAGAATATGCAAAAGACTATATGTCAATATTGTGTACCTTTCTTGTTTCAATACATTTTGTTCTAAGTACATTTTGTGTTGTATCATTATTCCAGGCATTAGTCAAGTTTCAACAGAAATATAAGAGAATTAAAAATGAGAAAGTAGACAAATAAAAAAAGCAAAAGCAAACTATAGATAAAAAGAAAAAAAAAAACACAAACGACGATAGAAGAAGAAAAGAATAATGACCGAAAGAGAAAAAAAAATATGCAAAAGAAGAAAAACGGGAATTGGATGGATGATGAAAAAAAAGGAAAAAGTGGGAAACTTGAATAATTCAAGAGCAGAAAGGAAGGAAGAAAGAAAAATAGAAATCTGTGTAGAAGAAAAAAAATAGAAAATAAAGAAGAAGATAAAAGAAAAAGCGTGAATGAAAGTGGGAGGGGATAGGAAGAAAGATGGCGGGAACATTGCAGATGGATGAAAAAATAGAGAAAAATAAAAATAAAATGAATGAGAAAGGAGAAAGCTAGGAAGATGAAGATTAGCGGAATGAAAATAATAGTTGAAAGAAAGAGCTTAAAGTCAAAATTTTGAAAATTCTTTGGATTGAACGAAACAAGAAAGAAAGAAAGAAAGAAAGAAAGAAAGAAAGAAAGAAAGAAAGAATGGAGTGCGGAGTAAAGATAAAACATTTCAGAAAGAAAGAAAGAAAGAAAGAAAGAAAGAAAGAAAGAAAGACAAAGAAAGAAGAAAGAAGCGAAAAACAAAAAATTGAAAATACGGTGAAAAGAAAGAATCTTTTCAAAAGTGAGAAAGAAAGAAGAAATAAAGAAAGAAAGAAAAGAAAAAAGAAGACAAAAAAGAAAGAAAATAGAGCAAAATAAGAAATTTGAGAATGCAGAGAAAAAATATCCAAAAGAAAGAAAGAACGGAGAATGAAGCAAAATAAATAAGAGTAAGGAGAAAAGAAAGAACATTTTTAAAAGAATGAAAGTAAAAAGAAAATAAAGAAAAGAAAGAAAAGAAGAAAGAAAGAAAGAAAGAAAGACAAAGAAAGAAGAAAGAAGAGAGAAACAAAAAATTGAAAATACGGTGAAAAGAAAGAATCTTTTCAAAAGTGAGAAAGAAAGAAGAGATAAAGAAAGAAAGAAAAGAAAAAAGAAGACAAAAAAGAAAGAAAATAGAGCAAAATAAGAAATTTGAGAATGCAGAGAAAAAATATCCAAAAGAAAGAAAGAACGGAGAATGAAGCAAAATAAATAAGAGTAAGGAGAAAAGAAAGAACATTTTTAAAAGAATGAAAGTAAAAAGAAAAGAAAGAAAAGAAAGAAAAGAAGAAAGAAAGAAAGAAAGAAAGAAGATGAAAACAAAATAATGCAAAGAAAGCAAAGAACCTTTTCAAAATTGAGAATAAAAAAAACGAAAGAAAGAAAAAGAAGGAAAGCAGGAAAGAAAGGAGAGCTAAACAAAATGTGATAATGAAGAAAAATATTTTCAAAAGAAAGAATGAAAGAAAGGCTAAATTAAAAAGAAATAATTTATTGTGCCCTGGAGATGGCCAGGAAAGAATTATTTTTCGGAATGATAACATTCGAAACGAAATGAACAAAGAACAGGATTGCAAAGGTCAATTCTCGTGAGAGGAATAAGGAACTAGCTTTCACTTCAAGTGCAACATCAGAAGCAGTGATGTTGAAAAATCATTCCTAATGTTTATTCAAATTCAGTTCATAAGAACAAAGAGAGTGACAGAGCTTTAGCATTTATCTAAGTATTCGAATTTTGACTTACTGCTTGATTAATCGATCGGAAAATTACAATATATTTATATTTCCCTGCATCAATATACTCATTTTTCGGATTCTGAATCTTTCCTATGTCGTTTCTTTCATTTTAAACTGGTGTCTGTCTGTCTGTCTGTCGCTGTCTTTCTCTCTATTTGATTGTCTATCTATGCATTGATTTATCTCAGGCTTTTCACATCGTTCGAGAAATGTTTATTCATATCTATCTATCTATCTATCTATCTATCTATCTATCTATCTTATATGTCTGTCTTTCTATGTATCGATTTATCTTGGGCTTTTCACTGCGTTGTATAACAGTCTGTTCCTATCTATCTTTCTATCTATTTGATCGTTATAATTCTATTGCTATATTTGTACTTATCTCTTTTCTCTCTTTCTCTTCTCTCTCTCTCTCTCTCTCTCTATATATATATATATATATATATATATATACATACAGAGAGAGAGAGAGAGAGAGGTAGATGATAGGTAGATATCATTTTGCAATTTCAAGGGGTTATTTAGTGTGATAGTATACGAGAATATATTAAGGAAACAATCAAGACCGTGACGCCAACCTACTACTGCAATTACACAAACACACACACACGTATATATATATATATATATATATATATATATATATAGGCAGCAATCCTTCCTTTATGCATGTTTCATTAAAAACGACAGACAAGGTACTACGGTTGAGCTTTTTATTTAATTTTTCTTGTGTTCTGACAAGAGCTTTCTTTTCTGGACAAAGGGTGTGTAAGAACTGTCCAAATGTTCTATATTTCCGAGCGCTTGGACGTCGAAAACTTATTTACAAACGTCCCCGTCGACCAAACTATTGATATTATCCTCAACTCTGTATATAATAATAATTCCATCCCTCCGCCATCCATCAAACCATCCCTCCTAAAAAAATTATTACACGCATGCACAACCAATGTTCCATTCTATGACCATAATGGAAATATTTATACCCAAACTAATGGTGTTAGTATGGGAAATCCACTCGGTCCATGCTTTTACAACTATTATATGTCCTATGTAGAAAATACTATATTTACACAGGTCCGCAAACCGAAAATCTATGTTCGCTACCTAGACGATATTTTTATTTTAGCTGATAACATTAAAGAAATAGAGACACTTAAGACCACATTTGAGAAAAACTCCGTCCTTAACTTTACATATGAACTTAGCCAAAAAAACAAACTACCATTCTTAGATGTCCTCGTTGAACACAACAATAACACTTTCATTACATCACTATACAAAAAACCCACCAGCAAAAACTCGTGCCACCTTAATTTCAAAAGCGAATGCCCACTTAGGTACAAAATAGCAGTAATAAAAAACTTTCTAAATAGAGCACACCAGAACTCATCCTCTCGACTACTCTTTCTCAAAGAACTTAACAACGTTAAACAAACACTAATTAACAACGGTTTCCCTAACCACCTTATAGACCAACAAATTAGACTATTCCTCCCCAAAGCAAGTAATAACGATAGCGAACACACAGCTAAAAATCACATACACATTTATTACAAAAACCAAATGCATATTAATTACAAACAAGACGAATCTTCTCTAAGGCATATTATAAAGAAATATACTACTCCTACTGATCCGAATAAAAAAATCAAACTTATTATCTATTATAAAAAATTTAAGGCGGCCAACCTTATCCTCAAAAATAACAACACACCAACTAAGTCAAAATTACAAAGAACGAACGTTATCTATGAGTTCAAATGCCATTTAAGGAACTGCGTTCCTCACCAAACCGGACTCATAAATAATTACATCGGCTACACAACCACATGCTTATCCAGACGTCTTACATTACACCTATCTGATCACAGCTCCATCAGAACACATTTAAACACACACTCAGATTTACCTGACACTATTAGGAACATACTAGTAGAAAACACAAATATATTAACTGCATCCACTTGCAAAAAAAGACTAAAAATAATGGAAGCTTTAATAATAAAAAAGAAAAAGGCAACTCTTAACAATATTAACTACGACAAAGCCACAATGTGCTAACCGTATTCGGAAACTAAAAACATCCCTACCACACACTGAACATACACAGAACACACACACTCTACTAAGCTGATAATCGAATCATCCTTGATAATGGCTAAAGTTATAGCCGAAAGCTCTCGGAAATATAGAACATTTGGACAGTTCTTACACAGCCTTTGTCCAGAAAAGAAAGCTCTTGTCAGAACACAAGAAAAATTAAATAAAAAGCTCAACCGTAGTACCTTGTCTGTCGTTTTTAATGAAACATATATATATATATATATATATATATATATATATATATATATATATATAGCCCAACCAGAAACTGTTGATTTCTTTGTGTGCAATATGAAGCTTTTGGAGTTAATTAACCGAGATGCCAGTACTTAAGTCATTTTTCCCATGAAAAATATTTTTCAGAAAAATACGTTTCTCAAATTCTCTATTTATGGCTCTTTCCAGTAATGAAGGAGACTTCCTTTCTACGCTTTTCTTTGAAGTTCTGTTGTACGTCAGCATCAGTATAATGTCATTATTTTTCTCTTCGTGTCACTTGTGTTATCCATTTTATTTTTGTTGTTTTAGAAACACTTCAAGTGATGTGGTTCCTCTTATTTTTTAGAGTTCATTCTTTCTTATTCTCTCGCCCAGTACACAAGATTAGAAGAATTCTTGTCGTTGTAACCTACTTGTTCCTTTCGATCAAAACCATTTCACCCATTTTCACTGAGAAAGCGGTTTCATAGAGCAGACAGATAATTCTGAACTGGTTTTGACGCCATGCTTGATAGCCATATGAAAATCTCAATCTAACGAGGCTATTTAAGACACTGGATCGAGTTTTCAGGTTAATCTTTGGGATTTCTATCAATTTTATCTCTTGGGTAAAACTATCCCTAGCACATGTTCAATTTCCTCATCTCGTTTGCTAAATTTGCTATAGGCTTACGGTTATATCACGTTGCAACACCGGTTCCTGTACGATCATCAAAATTAATCAACATCAAGTCTGGTCTGTACCAAGATAGGTGAGAGGTTGAGACTACCAGTTGCTGTAAGTTTTGATGTGCTTGCGCCGTAATGGATAATGGCTGAGACAGGCAATCAGAGACGAATTCCAATTATATTTGGGTTCATTATAAATGAATAGATATGAACATAGAACACCCCCTGCACACACTATATATATATATATATATATATATATATATATATATATATATATATATATATATATATATATATATGTGTGTGAAAAGTGTATATAAATATAAATAAATATATATATGTATAATTATTTATATATTATATGCGCGGTACTTATTAGAAAGCGCTCAATATCAGAGATAGAGCTAATATATTTGGTTGGATAGATGCAGAGTTTGTCTGACGATCGCTAAAGCGTGAAACCCAGGGTCACAAACTCACATCTATCCAACTAAATATATATATATATATATATATATATATATATATATATATATATATATATATATATATATATATAAAAAATCTACAGAAGAATATGGAAAAATAATCTTAAGATTGGCGATAGTGTGCAAAAACTACACAAGCAGCAGGCCTTCATTACAGTTAATATATATATATATATATATATATATATATATATATATAGTATGAGAAAATGAGATAGCAAAATAGATAAAATGATGAATTAACATGAAAGCGGATAGATAGATAGATAGATAGATAGATAGATATGAACAGACTGACATAGATACATAGAAAGATATGATCAGACTGACATAGATACATAGATATATATATATATGAACAGATTGACATAGATATAAAGAGATGGAATATGAATGATACGTCCACGCACACATGGACAAACATAAATAATTATATATATATATATATATATATATATATATATATATATATATATATATATATATATATATATGAGTTAAAGATCAAAAGCAGATTAAATATCGATCGGAATTCCACATGATGATAAAATAAAGAACAAATAGGAAATGTACACCTTATCTAACATTTTCACTTTTATTAAGTTTTCTCAATCGATGATGAAGCTTTAATAAAATGGAAAAATGGAAAAACTTGATATAGGTCTCCTATTTTTTCTTTCTTTTATCATATATATATATATATATATATATATATATATATATATATATATATATATATATATATATATATATATATCCAAATACATAGACCAATTGAGTCACTCTTCTGTCCAAAAAACAGAGGTCTTGTCACCCTCTGACTTAAAAAAAGAGGTCTTAATTATCGTGAGTTTGGGACTGATTCCGAGCCGACTGGTGTCTTCGCAGAATCTCACACTGAGATGAGTTGCTACACAAGATCGGAATTATTGTTATGACCAAAGAGTTACCACCTGGCCTAATGGTCAATATTTAACCAACCTCCCGTTGGAATTGTCCGTCACCCACAAAGACACGAAGACGCTTATGAAGTCTATCATGGCTGGAGAGTACGGCCTGGGAAACTCTTGCACAAATATTACAACAGTACTCTATTTATGGCCTGATATGTATCATATAAATATGGGGATAGCAGGAGAAATCAAGTTCTTACTAGAGTGGGACAGCGAGTCAACTATTTTATCTGTATCCTTAGCTATGGATAGTTTGTACGATTTCAACTTGAGGTCGAGCGTGAGTTTGAAGCTCAACAGTCTTTCGAGGCAGGGTTCTTCCCTTGAGGACATTCGTTCAAAAGTTCAGGGTTAGATCGTTGGTGA